CGTACGTTGCAAACGGCACGTTCTGGAATTGCAGTTGGAGCGTCGTGAATCAGAGGAGAGCTTTCGAAAGAGCATTGGAAAATGCTGCGCGCGCGACTCTCGGGAACCGAAGGTTCCTTCCACGGTGTTTATATATCTTACATCCTTTTCTCCATACGGCCGCGGCGGCGCCGGGAATTTATCGCGCGGATGCAGTATATACGCGAAAACTATTACGCTCCGTGTCGGCGGAACGAGCGCGGTCTTCGTCGATTTTATTGGCCACGATCGCCTCCTTATCGAGACGATAGTCGAGTCTCTCTTTGTGGGTCTCGCGAGCGCGCGTATGGCGACATACACGCGGCGCGGCGCGCATAAATGCGCCGTTGCATAAATTATTCTCGATCGGCAGCGAACGCGGTTACTATAAATTAACGTTATCGGGGTGTTTACATTACTTTCTTGTTGCACGATTAGTAATCGCGCAATAAGAGTACGGCGAAACAAATCAGCCGGTATATACGAGGGGGGCGGGGCGCGGCCCGCGATACCAGCGGCAAATGCGTATTTATTGCCCGGAGGAAAGCACGATAGAAACGTAGGGGAGTTGACGGAGAAAGAGGTCGGAACAATGAACTTGCCTTTTATAATAATCTTGCCCCGCGCGCCGCGCCACCGCCCGCGCTGATCCGCGCGGCAATATATGTATACGCGCGCGTTGGAAAAGTGCATCCACTTAACCAGAGATACGACGAGATCGGATACGGATTTTTTCTCTTTTGTTTACGTACCCCGCCCCCCTCTCTCTCTCACTCATTTATGCTCGATTCTTTTCTTTTATTGAATATATCAGCGTGGTTTGCGCGATGGCGTGATGGGGCGCATAAATAATTAAAGATTTATAGGCGGTGAAGTAACTGGTAAACAGAAAGCGATAAGATTGCGCGTTAAAATATAAATAGAGGGAAAGTGGGATAGATCATGGGTGAAGTAGTGGAATTTGGCTCGGTGTGTTTTAAGAAAAGAAAACTGCGCAGTGTTTTCGCCGAAAGATTATATACGAGCCGTTTTCCTTCTACGTTTCTAAGAATCTTTCTCTCGCGGAAGCTTTTCACAGGAAAAGAGTTCAAGAGTGTTAGAATCTACGCTAATTAGCGTATGCGTGTCGGTATCAAGATTAATTTCGGTCTGGTTTACGAGGAAAATTAAGTTGAATTAAATACTGAAATAATTTTCTGTGCCGTGAACAGCAATGAGCTTCGCGAGTAAAATGAAAGAGAGGAGGAAAAAGAAGAGAGATTTTTAAACTTCGCGGAAATTTCTACTATCTTGAGTCCAATTGAATAATGCGTCTTGGTTGGTGTCCAAAAACGGTTTTAGTAAATGAAACTGTTCCAAGAGGTGTATAAATCATTTTTCTTATTTCCTCTAGTACTCTGTCAAAGATTTTGAAAGAGATATAGCGGCCCGTGATTTAACGCACGTCTCACGGGAAGGACAGTATTTCGCTAAAAGAGAGAAGTACCTAAAAATTTTAGGTAGCTACAAGATCTAAAAATAATTTTGTTGGACATCAACGTAATTATGTAGGAAACTCAAGCGTGACGAGCAGTGCTGCAAAAAGTTTTCACATTCTAGCAACCAGCTTGAGCGTACATTATATTTCCATCGTTCAACAAAATTATTTTTAGATCCTTATCATTAAAAAAAGTAATCTTGCAATTATAGCGAGAATTATTTAGTTACGAAAAATTAGCTAAAACGGATAAGTGATTAGTAAGCACTGCGATACCACATATGTTTTGTATTTAATCAATATAGATGAGAGACAAAAGTTATATCTGAACTATTTGTCAAATTTAGCCAAGAAAGTTCTTCAATGACGTTTCATCAGTCCAGACTCCAATCCAGACTCTAATCACATTTGGTTATGAGACCTATATTTTCTTGTATATATTCTTAGAATATTGCTGCTATAAATTCGACGTATGACAGACAATTTTCAGATACAAAAAACAGCGATATAATTTAAGCATAATATTTATAATTCTAGCTGGAACAGCGAAACATTTTCCCGAGTGATCTATAAATTCAGCAAAACCGTTTTTTTTCCGCGTATAACGATTTTTCCAAAAGTGGACCTCCCACGCGAGAAATCGTCGGGATTCAGTTTCAACGACCGCGTACAATAATCGTCTCTGCGAAGATCCCAAAAATGTATAATAAATATATGTATTTACGTACGTGCGGACACGTAAGTACGTATGTACGTACGCGCGTATGCCTGTCGGAGTTACTTCAGTCTGCGGATAAGTGGGTCGCACACGCAAAGCCCCGGACTTGGGCTCGCTCATGCAGGACGCCGCACGAGCCGGTGTCGCAAGCTTGTGACTAAGAGACGCAATTTTTCCCCGCGAAACTAGTTGGGCTAGCATAGACATAACTATGGAGGCAATACCGTTGCGACACCCTACACCCACACTCCCGATCGGATATAGCGCGAGAGTTCCAGCGCGCGCGCGCGACGCGCGCCGTCGTCCAAACTCGCGCTCCCGCCTCTCGTCGGATTTTCCTCTCCCGTTTCTCTCCTACCGCGATCTTTTCCTTATTTCTGAATCTATCCGCGAAAGAGAATTTCACGAGAAAATCCCGATTATATATGTATCAGCAGTCATCTATGCCAATTTGCATGTTTTTCGCACGAAGCAACAAATTTTATCGTTTCCTTTACGATCTTTTTTTTTTATTTTTTTATTTCTTCGTTTTGCAATCTTCTCTTCTTTCGTAACGTAATTTTGAAATGAAAGCTTTCATAAAAAAGTTTTGCAATATATTTATAACACATATACATATATATGCATATCCACCAAGGTTAAAACACTTACTAAAGCAATGTATTCAATGTATTCAATAAGGCTGAACGCGCGGCAATATAACTTCAATTGATTACCGGCGATATTTCACTACTCAATCATATCGCGCTTTAGCTGAAGAAATCATAACTGATAATCATCTCTTCCCGCGATTATATCTGTCTGGAATCGCTCTAATCTCCCGCGCTGTATAGTTATATATATTTTCGAGCATTTTTACGGGAACCAGAGATAAATATCGTCGATTGTGGAAGCGTGCTGCTCCGAGCGCACTCGGTTATTTATAACGGCATCTAAGGTTCGTGTAATACGTAATATTAAAGCGATCGACTCGAGGCGAACTGCTCCAAGGATAAAACGGCGTAACGACTTTGGCAGCCAGCGACGCCGACATTTCCATGATGAGAGAGAGAGAGAGAGAGAAAGAGAGAGAAAAAGAGAGAGACTCGAAGTTGATCGAGCGAGGGAGATCTCGCGATGCCTTCTGCCAGGCGGACATTATTTCAGCCTGTAATGTGGAGTAGAGTCCGCGGGGCCCCCGTCGAACGACAATGAGCGGCACGATTCGACCTATTGCGCCAACTAATTAATAACGAACGATCCGCTCTTCGCGCTCACCTTGCGTTCGTTTCTTCGATTCCTCTTCCCCGCTCCCCCTCCTTTCTTTCTCTCCCTCCTCCCCCTCCCTTCCTTCGACGTCTTCGTCACCTTTATATTAGCCGACGTAGTTCGAGAGCGAAGTTGAACGCCGGCTCAATGTTAATCCCTCGATTCACGACCCGGACTCGGTCCGGCCGCGCGCGCTCTCTCGATGCTCCGCTATTCGCTTGCGAAATCGCGCCGCGCGATATGTGCAGCCGCGAAACGCATTGCGGGAGAAACAACGGCCCGGCTCACGCCGCTCCCTCCCACGCGCGCAGGCTTCGCACGTCGCGTCGTCTCCGCGGGTTTCTTCTAGCCGAAGAATAGCTGCCCGATCGAAAATACGATGCAGCCTGACGGGGACCAATGAACTTTCGAACAATCTCCTTCTCCAGAAGAGAGTTTCCTGATTCCGTTCGTTGATCCATCAGGCGGCTTAAATCTTCATTTGCATGAATCATGAATGCGAGAAGGATTTGAATATTTCATGGACTTTCAGAAATATTTCATTTGCACAGGTTTTCGGGGATTTTAACAAAATTCTAAACAAATATTTTACTGAAAAAAATTGAACATTTTAAATATTTATGATAATTGTTTCGCGGAAACGAAGCGTCGACGAAACTCATGCTATCCTTCGATAAGAAACGCGAAAGATAAACCTAGCCAGCGCATTTTTCTGCATTAATATAGAACGCGTTTCTCTCTCCCTCTCTCTCTCTCGCGTTTTTTTTTTCTCCTGGCTAATGTCTACCACGTACGTCGCTGCACGGTGCAAAACGATCGTTCACCGGAGGTGAAGCACTCCTCGCGAAAGAAAGTCGACGGAAATGGTGCGCGGACCGGACGGCGACCGGAGAGGAGGATGCTCCCCGCGTATTTTTAGGGGGCCTCGGGACGTTCACTTTTGGTTTTTGGCGCAACGACAAATTTTCGTCGCGGCGCGCGACCCCGTGTACATGGACACGGTGTATAAACGATCGTTAAAAATATACTGCGAGGTGCGCGAGAGATGCGCGCCTTTGATAAATCTCCCTTGACTCTCGCGGACGCGCCGGAACAGACTTCGCCCCGGAGGAGGACGAGAGAGAGAGAGAGAGAGAGAGAGAGGAAGGTGCGCGCGCGCGCGCACCCCGTACGTCGTCGCTAATTTCCAACGACGGCGAAAATAAATTAGCCGCGTCCCGTACACCGGCGGCGGCGGCGAACGCACTCGCGGATGCCTCGGCACGGTGTAATTACTCGAAAAAACCGACCCTGTCAAATGTATACAGAGCGTAACCACCGAGAGAGAGAACACGCCCGAGTCGAGTCCCCCCCGGTTTGTATCCACCCCATGATAAATTCGGGCCCGATTTTTCTCTCGGAGAAACCAACCGCGAGGCCATCCCTCATCCCGGAGGCGTTTAATCTTCGGCATTAAATATCTTGACAAATGAGCGATAAATAAAAGTTCAAGTTCATGTAAAAGGTAGTTTGAAATTAATTGAGAAGTAAATCTCTCTCTCTCTCTCTCTCTCTCTTGCATATTTATTTGTATCTTCGGGGGGTTTTTAAAGACCTCCGAGACCTTTTAATTGTAAAATGCTAAATAGCTTTCTAATTATTGCAATCTCGAACGGCGAAGCGACCGCCGTCCTTCTTCTCGGTTGGAGAAGTCCTCAATATCCGCGATTAAAAGGCCAGCCGGCCGGTGATTTCCCGAGACCTTGCCGGTATTCCGGTGACGGCGATCGAATAATCGATATATCGGGTGCTTTTCACTGCGCGGTTCGCGATGACGTCGAGATCGTAGATTATCAATGATAAAATCGCCCGCCTGTAAACGTCAAGAGAGCCCAGTCACGGCGCATTCAAGCAGTCAGCAATATAATACCTGTGCACGTCGGCTATCTTGAATTTCGTCGTCTTGACGTCGATTCCGTTCGGAGTGACGTCAGACTCGTGGATTATCGATGATGCAGCCTTCGGCGCGAGATATCATACCGGGGATTCCAGGAATTTTGACATATTTCGTAACGTGCGTCAAAAAAAGAGAGATAAAAAAAACAAAATATCCGCGTTGATTTCTCGATGACGCCAGTGCGAGCGCGCGCGCGCGCGCGCGGGGAGGGGGTGGACTATCTGTGACAAGCTTCTCGACGCGAGCACGTCGATGACTTGCAATTCGAGCATGATCCTACGGCACCGACGTTAATTCGCCCGGCGGCGATTTAATGTCGTGTATTTGGCACGTTCTCAAAAGATTGGAAATTTCCACCCATCGCGACGCCGCCGCCGCCGCCGCCGCCTCCGCCGCCGCGTCGCCGCGCGTTAAGATTGTAGATTAGCCGCGCGAGAGAGTAACTCATCACTGTATACGTGATTATCGCCAAGTTAATGTAAATTACACTGTGACTTCCGCGTCTCGCGGGCTCAAATCGATATGATTGCAGCCTACATAATAAGCATTAATGACACACGCTGCCATGTATCCTGGCAGAAGCCCGTACACGTTGTAAGTACATACATATACAGGTGAAGCTGCGAGAGATGAAGTTGCCGCCGCGTCTGCCCGCCGTATAAAGAGAGCCGGAGGAAAATAATCTTTTGCCAACGATGCGAATGAACGGCGCGCGGCTCCATAAAGAGATGATTCATCGAAATGACTAGATAATCGCTCCGGACGGATGCAGTCAGGTTTGTACTCTGGTTCGGAGATCTTTGAGATTCACCTCGTCGCTGGCATTAAAAGGAGAATAAACGGAATAATAATTAAGATCGAGTGAAGATTCTCAGGTGTATAGCGACGCTGGGTGTATAAGGTGAATCAAAACACGGCTCCGCGATCGGCTTCCCCGAACAGTGGTGTAATTAGGCGAGCTTGTACTCGGAATAAATGTACATACATATACATATTATACATAAAATCCCTTCCATCCACCTACATTCTCTACAAAATTAATAAATAGTTAATTAATTAATTAATATTAATTAAAATTAATAAATTTCCAAAAGGCTATGTACACCCACAGTCATTGATTCTGTCCCTCGGAAATTTTCACAAACTCTGAAGTGATCACTTTTCTACATTAATGCTTACAGTCCATGCACGATTTCGTTTCGTTAATGGACGTGCATGGACTATGAGCATTAATATAGAAAAGTGATCACTTTAGAGTTTGTGAAAATTTCTGAGGGACAGAATCAATGATCGTGGGTGTACACATACGACTCGACTCTTTTTTTTTCACTTAAGAAAATAAAAAAATACCGAGTATATCAACCCCGCCGTTGTCATTTCGATTAGACCAGAAAATTGAAACGATCGTAAATTGATTTAAACCGAAAGTCTCTGAAGATCCTTCGAAAAATCTATGCTATCGTGGACTGGAATATCAAGAAGATGCTCGTTCATCTGAATAGGCGATCGAAGGTGAGCCGAGACGAATGCGAGAGCTTCCGCGCTCGGAGCATATTTTATACATTCGCGTGGCGCGTAATGTATAAAATATTAACAGGTTCGCGTGACGATGCATTAAGCGCGATTTGCGTGCCATCCTTTGCCGCGTGTGCACGCTCGTACCGTTCCATTTCCGCGGCGGGATCCGGCAGCAGCATCCCGACACTCGCACAGTCGGCATATCGGGGCCGCGAAAGACGCATCGGTCGCGCGACGAAAGCGAGCCATTAGGCAAATTGTGCCTCGTAAAAGCGCGCGGAGCGTTCCGAATTTCTACTTTTCGGTCACGCGATCGCGCCCCACCGTCGCGACGAATTCGGCGCGGCGCGGCCTGTATACGGAGAGAATAATACCGTGCGCATAATAACGGAGCCTGTCTCTCCCTCTCTCTTTCTCTCTCATCCCGCGAGTACGTCCGTGCGGGACCCAGAACGGGGAGGGGGCCCGGAGTCTGCTCCGCTTGCACCGGGAGCGGGCCCCCACGAGTTGTTCGTCTCTCTCTCATCCCGCACCCTTCCTTCATCCACCCTTCTCTTCTTCCACCGGTTCTATCTGTCTTACTGTGTTTCTCTCATCTCGCCAGGGTTAAGAGAAAGAGAAGAAGAGAGAGAGAGAGAGAGAAAGAGAGAGAGAGAGCAAGGGTAGAGAAGAGAGGAAAGAAAGAAGTCCGAGGGACCGCAGGGAGAGAGTATGGGGCCCGCCGACCGTCTGGTGGGCGGACGCCAGCCTGCAGCAAAGCAGAAGAGATCGCTGCCTTCCGTCAAGGACAATCGCGCTCTTCCTGCCTCCTCGCCTCTACGCTGCTGCTGGAGCATCCTCGATCCATCCAGCCGGATGGTTGGTAATTTCGGCCAATGCGTTTCTGCAGTTAATCGTGCGGCACGCTGCTGCAGAGCGTGAGCATCAAGCAGAGAGATTACTCTGTCATTGAGAAAAATTAATTTCAGCTCGTGTAATTGATTGATTTTCGCAACTCGGCTATTATCTTTACTGCTCCACTTTGATTTCTTACCGAATTTCTTATATACACATGTACATATATAATACACATTGTAAAGTCAATGTTGACAGGTTGATTACTAATGGAAAATCTTAATTATTTCCCGGTCCCTTCATTAATGAAAGTTTAAGCGATTAAATTAATTAATTGTTTCATTTGAAAGGGATTACCGAACTAATTGAATTTCATTTAACAATTTACATCGACTCGAGTTGAGCATCACGAGAAGTCATGATGTATCGACCGTGTACTGATAATTAATTTAGAGTGAAAGAGGAGCCGAATACTCGATGTAAATTCCCCTTTGCAACACATTAAAATGTAGAACTGGCACGCGGCACTTGGCGTTCGCTTATTTCGCGTCGTATATGTATATACTGCGTGTTGTCTGCGTCGCCGATCATTCGGGCGGCAAGACTCGAGCGATTAAATATACATAGCGGCGCGAGACGTGGAGCGTGTGTCGTCGCGTCATTATTTCGCGTAACGCGATTATTCCTTTCTCACGAACAATTAGAACGATTAGATTATTAGGACAATTGGAACGTTTAGATTATTCATCAACTCACGCGACTAATAGCCAGCTCGCAAGCGTATCGATGTGTGGCGACATATGTATATTGAAACAGGTATATATATCTCGTGCTGTTTAGTGATTTAAAGTAGCGGTTTAAACTTGAAATGCGATACACGCTAGGTATTGCGTCACAAAAGCCGCAATATATCGACCGCGTGCTGATAATTAATTTCACGAATGAAAAGGGGGAGGAATTCGATATTCTCGACCGTAAATTCACTTCGTAATACGTTAAATATTTCGTAGGACTGGCACGCGGCGCTCGGCCGTTCTTGTTTACGGCGCCGCGGTCACGACGCGTCATCCTGTTGTTATTCGCGCTTGCGATACCGGAGCAGGCGGTCAGCGGCGCAAGACGCTCGGCGTGTTACACTTACGGCGAACGGGAAATTATTTCGTACGATCACGCGGTTATTGCCCGAATGACGAACGACTTTAGCGATAGACGAGTCAACGCGACTAATTAGCCTAATGAACGATCGTGCATAAGCGTATGAGCTTATCGAGACGACATTTACGTAAGACGCTATTTACCGTAGCGAGCGTATCGCGCGCCGCCGATCGCTGGCGCAGCGGAACATTTGATCCACCGCGTCGCGGAATTTCGTGTAAATTCGTCCTAATTGGTTTTAAGTTCGGGAGTGTGCCGTTCAAAGCGTCGCGCGCGATTCTGATAATTAGTTTGCCCGCGTGATTAGCCGCGTAATTAGTGCTACATCGAGTGAGGAACTCGACAAATGACGGCGTATTAATCTGACAATCCTTAATAGAGTCTGAGAGAAACTTGAAAAAGTTCGAGCGAGCTGCGGCGCAATTTTACAACTAGAGCGATTTATTATTTTTAGATTGTTTATATTTTCTTAGCGTCTGTTTGGTTGTTTACTTGAATCATTTATTTGAATAATTTAAACAAGAATTAGAGAAAAAGAGTATTTGAAATTTTATGGAAGCTTACATTTGAGAAAAAGAATCTTTTCAAAAATTATATAATTATTTTATTGAATATTTATGTGAGGAACAAATAAAGAATATTCTATATATATGTGTAATTACTGTTTGAAACATTGATTATTTTGCACGCAAATAATTTTAACTTTTTATTTGTATGAATTACAGATGAATACAGTTAATGTAGTCGACAACTTCTTGCTATTACACATCGATCGGTGAGTGAAAAAGAAACTTTTGTATTATGACGGATCTATGAAAAAATGATATTGACCATAAATAAATAATATACTAGAATGTATAAATGTATTCTATTAAAAATTACATAATGACAAATATAACTCGTACATGGAAAAAATTTTGCTAAAAGATTTTACTAAAATTTTACTGGATACAGATTTGAAAATAATTTTGTTGGACCACATCAAAATAATTATGTTGGAAACTCAAATATGATGAGCAATGTTGTAAACAAATTTTATATTCTATCATCCAGTTTGAGTTTCCAATATAATTATTTTGATATAACTTCAATAAAAGTATTTTCACATCTGTATCCAGCTAAATTTTAGGATCTTTCAGTAAAATTGCTCTTTTCGTGTAAATCCATTGTCTTTGAATGAATTAAAACAAATTAGAACATATATTTGATACTGAATACAGCATCACTTGTTGATTTATTACACGTATGATGCACTTGAGCGCACGCGTAAAATTTGCAAAGAAATTAGGGCATGTTATATTGGCATTAATTATTTTACATTTAACACATTAATTCATAATATCAGGATCAATATATATTAATGTTTTTTATTTAAAAACATTTATTAAAAACATTAGCGTTCACAGTACCTAATAGTTGATTAAATTTTTAGGTCTGTCGTTTGTTAAAACATGCAAAAGTACACAGTCGACGAAATAAAATGTCAAAACTATAAAAAATAAATGCTCTTCTAAAGGTAAAACTTTTAAATTCTTTTCATGACGTTCGTATCTTCATAAACAATGAAGACAGTTATGTATTCAGTACGAATTATTTATATGTTCCAGTTTTATTCGAAATAAGAAAATGGAATAAGTAAGTA